CGACAGACCACGTGGGAGTGTGGATCTCTCAGTGGGGACACATCCTTGACTCCCAATTTCTTTGATACCCAGACACTTCTCTCCCTCCCCTCCTCCTGAGTCCTAATGTCCTACGCGTGTGTCTCGGAGCTAATCTCATTATTCAGGATATCTGGAGTGCTGGGTAACAGAAAGCCACTCATTTCAAGTTTCAGGAAGTTTCTGGAAGCATTTTTTAAAAAAAAAGGGGGGGGGAGGTGGACCCTGACAGGGAAGGGACCCTGGGAGAACAGGAGAATGAAGAGGGGGGTAGCGATATTTCTTCTCACTCTCCACTCCTTTGTGCAAACATTATTTCTGTTTTGGGAGGTGAGGTGGGCAACATCTGGCAGTGCTCAGGAATGACTCCTGGCTGTGCTTGGGGATGTGGGGGAGACCATCTGGGGGGGTTGCAGGCAGGGTACTGAACAGGGTCGGCCACACGCAAGGCAAGCGCCTTAACCCCTGAACTATCTCTCCAGCCCTGCAAATGTTTTTTCAAACGTTCTTCTCCCCCACGCCTCCCTCCACCCCCGAGGGTAAGCCAACCAGAGGACAGCTGGCATCTCCTCACATCCCTGTCTTTCTCCTGCCTCCTTTTTCCCTCTGGCCTTCTCCAGACACACACACGGGCACTGACCAGGCTGAAAGAGTGTCCGACTGAGCAAAGAGCCGACTTTGCTCATTGTCACAGAGGCTGAGTGACACCTGCAAGTTTTTCCGACTCGCAGTCAGAGCACCCAATACAGCATGCAGACCATGAGTCCCCGACGGGACGCCAAGAGGGACGCAGAGATGCTTGGCCATCCTACCTGCTGGAAACCGCCAGACTCCAGCGTCTGCCCTCACTCACTCTGGCTCTGCCAAGCCAGAGTCTGGAGTCAAACGGGCTCTGTCCGGCTCTCCAGATGGGAGAATGGTCTGCTCCCCCCGCCAACCCCCCCCAAGCTCCCCAGAGGGGAGGCCTGTGTTGTAACAGACACTTTATTTTCAGCCTCAAATCAGGACACTGAATACTCCCAGGTCTCTGAAAACAGCGGCGTTATGAATAGGGAGTTCACTGGCAGGAAAATAACCTGTCTGTCCTGTTAGGCTTTGAGCTTCGTTCCAGAGGATTTTTTTTCTCCCCCGAACAATGCTGTCAGCATTATCATGGGGTCGAAAAGGGAGAGTCCTGGGGTGGCCCGGGAGGCGGCTCAGCTGGAGGGCCCCTGCCTTGCTTGGGAGGGGTCCTGGGTTCAATCCTAGCACTCCGAGAAATAAAAATGAAAAATGAAAGAGAGAGAATCCTGTCCAACAGAATCCCTGGCCCTCATTCACAGTGACCCCAGGGGGTGCTGGAGACAGCAAGGTTAAGGCACCTGCCTCTCTTGCAGGCCGGGACCCTGGTTCGGATCCTGGCACTGCTGGGGTCCCTAAGTAGCCCTGGGAATATCCCCAAATACAGAGCCAGGCGTAGCCCCTGAGTGTGTACAGGCCAAAAGTTTAAAAACAAGAAATATTTAGTTAAAAACCAGAGGTCGACAAGAGCTCAGCAGGCTTTGCATGCGAGAGGTCCAGGTTCGAGCCCCAGCATGTCCAGGAGCGAGAGTAGCCCCAAACAGTGCAGGGACCCTCAGAGAGAAGGAACGAAGGTCTCTCCTCTAAAGTGTGGGCCTGACCACCAACTCCACGTCCGCAGTGGCCAGGACGAAGATCCGGGCCTTGGGGAGGAAAGGGGGCAGAGACAGCCCTGGCACAGGGTGGGAGATCCTCCCCCTGGCCAGGACATCAAACTGGACAGCAGGTGGGCTCCTGACCAGCTGGAGACAGAGAAAGGAGAATTTTCCAGGCAAAGAGGCAATGAGTCCAGAGAAAGGGTGGGCAGAGGCACGGGTGGGTCTGGCACATGAGGACTGGGGCGGGGAGCCTTGAACTTCTAAAGCTGGAATGAAAGCAGCAAAGTCCCGAGGTGGACAGCCAACAGCGGTGACCACCAACGTCCCATTTCACGCTCTTGATCAGAACCCTCGGGAACCGTGGTGGGAACCAGGCCCCCACACTGGAGCTCGGGTGGGTGGGCCTGCGTGATAGGGCAGAGAGGCCCAGCAGACGGGGACCCAGTGCTCCGGAGCCAGGCACCGCATCCACACTGCCAGCTACCCCCCGCAAGCTCACAGAGCAGAGGGCAGGGAGGGAGGGACAGAGAGCTGCTCGCCCCTTATCACCCATCTCCGCTGGCCGCCCGGCTGGTTTATTGCCTCCCATGCTTCCCAGCTTCCGTGAGGGGGTCCTGAGCACTTTGCAGTCCTGGTCTCCCACTGTGAACTTCAGCCCCTCCTGAGAGCATGGGGTGTGTGGGATTCCCACCCCCAGTCTCTCTGGCTGTGGCCCTGACGGTCCCCAAGCACTGCCAGAAGGGGGTTTCCAATACTTTTTTACTTGTTTTTCTGTATGAAAAGAGCAAACTGTCAGAAAAGGGGGGGGGGGCGCTGAACTCTTCTCCCCTCCCACCTGCACACCCCTCTCCAAGGGGAACCACACTCCAACTAAGGCGCTCTTGGTAAGAACGTTACACAGTTCAAGAGGGAGGCACGCAGAGTGAAACCAGGCTCAGGGTCGTGAGCAGAACAGACGGAGGATGGACGGAGGATGGACGGAGAGGGCGCGCTCACACTGTGGATAGCAGGCAGCGCTGCTCGGACCCAGCGGGGCCGTCTCAGCCAGGGCTGACCCGGGACAGAGACTAATGGTCCTGTGCTCCAAGGTGACCCACACAGCGAGGACTTACAGGAGTGCTCCCGGCTACCGATCCCTGCAGTGCCAAGGGGCAGAGAACAAAACGCCCTGTGCCAAGAAGTTCTTCTTTTTTTTTTTAACAGAGGATGGTTTGGGGTCACACCCAGCCATGCTCAGAGATTACTCCTGGCCCTGCACTCAGGAATCACTCCTGGTGGTGCTCGGGGGGACCCTCTGGGACGCCGGAGATGGAACTTGGGTTGACCGTGTGCAAGGCAAGCACCCTCCCTGCTGTGCTATCCTCCGCCCCCGCCAGGAAGTTCTTTCTTCTCCCCCCACTCAAATCCTTAGCAATTCAGAGCTGCCTCCAAGAGCTCTACACCCCCACTTTGGGGGAGGTGCTGGGGGTGTCAGACCTCATGGTGGGCTCTGCTGTTAGTTCTCCAGCCTCCTACTGCACTAGACTCGGCCTGACTGGTTTCCTGGAGTAAAAGCTGGAGGCATTGAGGGTGAGGGGGCCCCCCCAGAGAGAACGCAGGTTGTCTAACATGCACCAAAACTCCAGGTACGCTCTGCACCCTGAGGAAGAAAAGGCCATAACAGAGACCAGGAGGCCGTTCCTGGGAACCAAGGCCTGCTGAGAGGCAACTCTACCCCTCCCTACCCCCAGCCCACAGAGAGGGGTTCAGGGCCACAGCTGATGGAGAAGGCGGGAGGGGTCTCCTGTTCTTCCCCCCACTCACCCACTCCACCCTCACCCAGCATTCTAGTAGACTACTGTGCGCTCACAGGCGGACCCTCACGGGCTCCTGTCCACAATACAAAAGCGAAGTCACCGATGAGGCTTGGGGAGCACCCCCCACGGGAACCCCAACAGGCCATGGTCTCCGAGAGTTTCGTGCCCAGGGTCCAGGGGCGGGAGGAAGACAAAGTCTCCCAGCCCGCTTGATGGCCATCGATATGATTTACTGTCACTGAGCATCACTGAAGAGGTTTTATCTCAAGACGGGACAGTCCTGCGAACACCCAAAGGTCACCAGGACACTGCAGATGGCCGGGAAAGGGCAGGCACTCGGCGCCACACAGTGACTCTGGGCAGCTCTGTCTCCCCTGCCCGCTTCTGTTCTGCTCATCAGCCAAGCACACAATGGGGCGAGATGGTTTATAGGGCCCTTCCTGGCTCCGCGGGGTCAGCGTCGAATTCTTACTTATTTCCTGAAGAAAGGGTCAGAGGAAAATCAGGGGAAAGAAGCAGAACTTGGATCCATCCTCCCTGCTTGCAGCGGGAGCATTGGGACTCCAGAACGGAGTGTATCCCGGGCCTGCCGGTGTCCTGGTGTCGTCCCCCCCTCCCCACCCCCGACCTTCCAGTTTTGCTGATGCCAATCTGAACTGCAGGGCTGGAAGTCTCACGAGGCGGTATCACCGTCAAATTAATTTTGCCAAGGCTGATACTAAGCCACAAACTCGGTTTTGCAATTTCAGAGCAGTAAGTCTGGCCATAAAAGTGAAATCCATGTTACTTATGATCTAATAAACCCCATTGCCTGGGTAGAAATAAATCACTGGCTGAATAATATTGCCCACCAGATTCCTGCAGGCTTCCGGATCCCCAGGTGCCATGAGGAATAATTCCCGTCCAAAATAAAGTCCGTATCTTGGAGGGGGTGGGGGGCAACGGATGGAATCTCACACCTGCACCATCTCCCCCCCTACACACACACACACACACACACACACACACACACGCACCAAAAAACAATCCAGTGCCCGCGCATGTGTGCGCGCGCGCGCGCGCACACACACAACACACACGCACGGCACACACCTTGCTCCGAACAGATGCCAAGTCTGCCCACCTGAACTGGGGTTTAAAACACGCTGCGCGTGGAAAGCCCCTCCCGTGCCCGCCCCGCCGGTGCTACGGCTGTTCTCGCAGGAGGGAAATAAAGCCCGTTCGTTGAACCGCACGTGAAAACCAAGAAGCTGCCGCGCCGCTCGCGGGAGGGCGGCTGGTACCTGCGGGGCCCGGGGCCGGGGGCGCAGGCACGCGCCGCGGGGAGGAAAAGGGGGCTGCGGGGGGCTGCGGGGTTGCTCGCGCTGCGCCCGGCCGCCGGCCGGTCACCTGCAAGGCGCGGGCTCGGCCGGGCAGGAGGGCAGGGCAGGACGGTGCCAGCCGGGAGGAGGTGGCGCGCGCGGGCGGGCGGGCGGCGCAGGAGCACGACAACAAGCGTCGGGGCGCGCGGGCTGCGGCGCGGGCTCACCTGTCCGTACACCTGGATGGGCTGCGGCGGCAGGGCAGCGCTCCGGCGGCTCCGCAGCGGCGCGGCGCGACTGTCCCCGCGCGGGTCTCCACGCAGCACGCGGAAGCCGCGGTCCTGGGGCCGGGGCGCGTGGCCGCCGGCCAGTGTGGGCGCGCGGCCCCCGCTGCCCGCAGCGCCCGGCGCGGGCAGCTCCAGCAGCAGCAGCAGCAGCAGCAGCGGCAGCAGCGGCGGCAGCGGCGGCAGCAGCGGCGGCCGCGGCGGCGCCCCCCGGGCCCCCCGGACGCGGAGCCGCGACTCCCTCCTGCTGCTCCGTGTCGCCATGTTCGGGCCGAGCGCGGCCGCAGGTGGTGGCGCCGCCGCCAGGACAGAATGTGCAGCGCGCGCGCCGCTCCCGGGGCCCGGGCCGTCACGTGCGCGCCCGGCGCGCCCCGCCCCGCGCCCCCCAGCCCCGCCGGGTCGCGGGCGCGCGGGGGTAGCGGCGGGTGGGAGGGGGCAGCGGGTCCCGGCACCCGGATGCGCTGTCCCCCCCACGCACACACACACCTGCGGAGTCAGTCCCCCCTACCCACGCACACGCACACGCACACGCACACGCACTTACTGGTCCAGTCCCCAGGACCCCCTTGGACCCCGCGCACCTGGGCCATCACACAGGTAGAGGAGGATGCAGCCCTGACCTCCCGGAGCACCCGGGTCGGGGACACAGAAAACCCCCCTCCCCAGAACAGTGGCCTGCTCGTGACCCTGCCAAGGGACCTGGCGGCAGGGGCAGCGGCGCTGGCCCGACTCTCCTGCAAAATGGGCATCTATCCTGCGTCTGTGGCCCCCCACCCTTACGTGATGGCAAGTTTGCAGGGGCAGACTTAAGAGGGGCCAGGACACATTTTAACCTTCCTCTGGGCTGGCGTTCCTGCAGGGGCAGACTTAAGAGGGGCCAGGATGGCGTTCCTGCAGGGGCAGACTTAAGAGGGGCCAGGACACATTTTAACCTTCCTCTGGGCTGGCAGGTCCCTGCTGGCTTTGAATCTGATCCAGTGGCCAGTGGCTGCTGGCTGGCCGGCTGCCGAGGCCACCCAAGGTAGGCAGTACCTTATCCGGGCTATGGGAACAGCCGGGCCCTTTCCAGGTAGCTTCTTGTCACTTTGCGTCACAGCGGGCTGCCACCCTGAGGAGCCAGAACAGACACCTCCGATGTGACCTCAGGAGACCAGCTGCAGGGACATTCTGACATTCCCCCATCACCACTCGTTTGATTTTTGTTTGGGGTGGCATTAGAGGTGCTGGAGCTCAGAGGGTTGGGGTGGAGGCAGGGAACCCAGATGTGCAAAGTCTCTGCTCCAGCCTCTAGCCCACTCTCTGGCCTGTCTCTGCCCCGTCTAAGCCCCCCACCCAGGGGAACCGAGGCCCAGTGACTGCAGACAGTAGTTCAATTCCCGTAGCTCTCAGGCGTAGGTCATGGGAAACTCTTGTACAATAGCAAACGTCAGAGTTACCACAGCAAATTCCCATGGCCCCAGTTCCTCAAATGGGGGTCAGCTGGGAAGGACCAGCCTCTTGACCTTGGTTTTGCTTTCAACTTGGATGCTGGAAAACTTTCTAGAATGCTCAAATGTGCCTCATGGACCCCTTGAAAGCCCTCCTCTGGGGTCATTTTCTACACCCCAGCCATTCCCAGGTGGGTAATCAGTGACCCCCAGACCCCATGCGTCCCCCGCACCGTGGGCAGGGTGGAGAGCATGCAGAATTGGGGGTTGAAGACCTCCTTGATGACTGTGGGAGCTTGGCCAAATGTCCTGTCTGAGCTTCCCCTAGACACGAGGATATCTATTTATCTCAGATGAGACCCTGTAGATCAAAGAACCAACTGATGCACAGGCCTTGGCTCAGAGCCTCACGGTGGGTGCCGAGCGCTGGGCTCAGACTCCAAGTCCCAACTCTGCAACCCAGCTCCCGTTCGAGTTGGGTCCAGCCCGTGGGCACCCTGGGCTTTGGCTTCTTCTTTGATGAAATGCAAGGAGACCTGGTGGCCCAAGTCAGGTCCAAGTGACCCAGCCCACCCAGGGTCTGGGAAGAGAGTCTCCAGAAGCCAGTCGCCCGAGCCAGGGCCCCGGACTGAATTGTGCAAGGAGGGGTTTTTTTCCTAAACTCATCGCCGGATCTGGGTTGTAAACAACCGGCCACTTCCTCCCTGGCTCCAACTAGCAGCCACATTGGGGTGGGCACGCGGGCAGAGCCCGGCAGCGCCCCTCCACTGGTGTGGCCTCGCTCTGATGTGCTAGTGAGAACCACTGGGCACGGGCCGCTGGGTGCCAGGCTCTGCAGGAAGAAGCCAGGGACCTGTGGTCAGACGGCAAACTTCCTCCTGCGTCTCCTACCCCTGTCCTGGGGAGCTGCAGGAAAACACTGCCCAGGCCTATGCAGAGAGAGTCACAGTTAGAACAGCAGCAGGGGGACTCAGCAATGGAGTGGGCGACTCAGGGAGCAGGCTCTGGGTTTGATCCCCCATAATGAGCATGCACACACACACACACACACACACACACACACACACACACACAGAGCAACAAGTGCAACCAAGAACAGAACGGGCGAGGCTCACAGTCCCGCATACAGCTCCCGTGAACAAGATTGCCTAAGATGCACCCAGCACCACAGAGCAAGAAGGAGGTGAAGTGGGAGGGGAGAGAGGAGAAAAGAGGAGGAGGAAGGGGCAGGGAGGGGGCCAGAGAAGCCTCAAAGCCCAGCTGGAGTTTCTCCAACCACACCCCCCCCCCCCGCAAGGTCCTTCCCATGGCCCCGATATGCCCCCGGCCCCCAGCCCAGGCCTGGCTGGGTTGTTCTCTTCACCCTCCTGGTACACACAAGGGTCCTCAGCAACCCCCAAACCGACAGGCTGGCTCTGGGGCTCTGTTTCTGGGCAGACGCTGATGCTTCCTCTCTGAGCACATTATATATCTAACCACTTCCTCTTAAAACTACAAGCAACAGGAGCGCAAAACACAGTTGTCCTGCTTTGATCTCTGCCCCAGGGCCCAGGATAAGTGGGTACCTGGAAGCCGCCGGGTGTGTGGGGGGGTTGTTAAGGAAAGCAGTGTAGGGATGGAGGGGTGCCACCCATCTGGGCTTTGTGCTGAGCATTGGGACTGGCTAAGGGCATCCCGAAAGGTCCTGCCAGCCTCTGCCCATCACACTGCATTGTCCTAAAGCTGACCTCTGCATCCAAGCCAGACCCCCAGGGTGCTGCGCTCCCCTCTCACCGCCCCCCACTCACACATATGTGTCGGCAGTGGGGGACATTCTTCCCTCACCATTTTAACCAAAATAATTACCATCTACCTCACCACCTACAGAAAAGAGTGTAGGGGATGAAAACAAAATTTTAATATTGAGTCAGAAAAGCAGGAGAAAACCAATCAAATGTTTGTGACACCTATACTTCTTGTAGGCAGAGCAGAGGCCCAGGAAAAGGAGACAACTGAATGAAATGGCTTCAACTCCCTCCTTCGGCTAAGGAGAAAAGGTGTAGGAGTGGTGGAGGCCGGTGACCGTGGGTACGAGGCGCTGGGGTGATGCGTGCTTCCAAGTGGAGGCTTTCTCCAACAGGGAGACATCTCCGACCAAAAAAAAAACCAAAAAAAAAAAAACCCTGAGTTTTCAGAGCTTTTCCTCTGTCTGCTATTGCTCACAAATAACCATCTCAAAATAATCCTTATGCTAAAGAGACATATTTGAGGATGGAAAATTTTGCTGCCCTGCAACAGAAATACCCTCCATCCTCCAAGGAAAGAAGAAAAAAAACAACAAAACTATCTCCCGCGGATGATCAAAGACAAAGCCCGGAGGAAGAGGTTCAGAGGTAAATCTCATGCCTTGCATGCGGGAGGCCCTGGAGTCCATCCCTGCACCAACCAAGCAAATGAAAAATGGAAAAAACAAAAAAAGGGTTAGGGAGAGGGTGGAAGGGTTGAACACTTGCTTTGCATGGGTCACATGTCCTCCTGTGGGCCAAGCAGGAGTTAGCCCCAAATCAAAGGGGAAAGGACAAAGCCCAGGATAATGCATGAGGTTCAAAACACAATTGCTCCCAGAATAGAGACTAAGGAACTTATATTCTCACTCTTGAATAAATTAACTTCAAAATAAAAAGAGATCCTGGAAATAGTAAGCTGTGCTGGGCTCTGAGCTACATTTGCATGGCGCTAGGCTGACTTCTGCGTCTGTCTCTTAGAAGGAGCAAAGGGCAGGGGGGATCCTGTGGGTGCGGTCAGGGCACGCCAGGAGCAGCTTTTGGGGGGTTCCCCCTATCTCGCTGCTCAGTCCCCAGGGGCCTGCTGCAGAGCTGGGACCTCACTCAGCCTGCTAGCCGGGTCCTTCGAGAGGGCTGTGGGACAGGTGTGGACCCTACACACCCGGCCGAGCCCTTTTGGTTGTTTGTTTCAGGGCCTCACCCATGGGTGCAATGCTCAGGGAGGGTCACTCCAGGCTGAGTTTGGGGGACTCCAGGCCTCCAGGAAGCAAAACCAGTAGTTCTGCACTCTAGCCCCCTGAGCCCCGTGGTCCCCCTGATGAGCCCCTTTTGCCTTCCAGAGAGCTGTGGATCCCCATTCCAGGGGACACCCCCATCCCCCCACAGGGACTTGGGTTCAGGACCCCTTGGGAAGGAAGGCAGCCTTTCCCTTTGGCACCTGCGGGGGTCCTGCCTGAATTTGCGTCTTAAATTTTTGTAACAAGAAAAGACAAGACGCAGCCTGGCGGAGTGTGTGGAGGAAAAAGGACTGTGACATACAGGATGTAAAAGCCAAGGTGGGGAAGTCTTCTTCCCTGGGAGTCTGGAAGCACTGGGCTCTCCGTGGCTCCTGCCAGGCCTGCCAGGGTGCTGGAGCTGAAGAGTCTTTGGAAATGGAAGAGTTACATATCAAAGGCGGGTTCTCACCTTCCCTTTGAGTCTTCATAATGGAACGAACATCAGTGTTTAGCCCCTGGGGGTGGGTCTGTATGTGTGTTGGGGGGGGGGGGCAACCGGGCCTCCTTCAGTTGAAGTGTTCGATGGTTTGGTTCCCCAAGTGCCTTGAAGCCCGCTGGGACTCTGGGCACGTGAGGAGATGCCCACCCGGATGTGGAGGGCCCCCCTCCACTGCTCCGGTCCCACCAGGAACCTGGAACTTCATTTTTTCATTTCCCTGTGCAGAGAGAGAAACTTCCTTCTTCCCTTTGAGGTTCTTTGGACGTGAGACAGAATGGGAGAGAATCCAATATCATTACACAGGGTCGCTCAGAGACCCAAGACTCAGAAAAAGCAGGGCAGCTGAGACTCATGCACC